TCCCTCTCCCTCTCCCTCTCCCTCTCTCTCTCTCTCTCTTTCTAAAAATCAATTTAAAAAGATAAAAATTAAAATTGAGCATTCTTACCCAGCTTTAGTTTGGGCAGATACTTACTATGTAGACCCAGCCTAGGTAAATGCCCAGGAAAATGCCTGTTCACCTGGAATTTTTACAGCTCTTTAACTACATGCAAATTAATTCTCACAATTAGTAATCATTATAAGCAAGTATGTAAAATACTGTGGGAAGCATTAAGCATAATACATGGATCAGTAAGGAAAGCAGTGTGTTTTGAAGGTGCCTCTATTTGTTTGTACCTATATTCCCTTGGGCATAAAATAAGGGAGCAGGACACTTCTTGAGCTCTTGGGAATATATGTGGTTACTGTGGGGTGTGGTATAGATTTAGAGGAAATATTTTCACTTGGAGCCTGATAAGGAAATGCGTGACCCTTCAGGAAGAATTGTAGCTCACTCCTTGCCCCTTGCCGTATATCCACAGAATCAGGCACAGAACATTCAGCCTCTCCCAGCCTTTGTTAGATACACCTTATATAGTCCAACGATACTTCACACTTTGTTCCATAACCGTAATGAAGCCTTCTGCAGTTTGATTCTGAAAGTTCCAATTCCATAAGCAACATTTCCATTATAATAAGTGTGGCCTAGTTTTCATGCAGCCCCTCGTATGAGCTAGGATTACATTTCTCTCTCGGTTCCAGTGTTCCCACCCCTGTGACACTTAGGGAGAAGGTTGCGATGACGTCCTCATGTTTACATTCAAAATCACACCCCATTTTAATTTCCAGGTGTCCTCGAAGTCCGCCTTCTCTGCATCGCCCATGGGCTCTTTCTCCCTCTTGCCTCCCTTCCTCCCTCCCTTCCTTCCATTTTATTAGGGTTCCGATTGCCTTTATTTTTTAACTCGTTAAGAAGAAACATACTCTGTTTTCACTATGTTCTTATAGCTTCCGGATGCTTCCCTGCTTACCTTTCACTTAGAAGTGATTCCCTTGGTTTTCTACGTCGCTGCTTCTGTTTTTAAACTGGTGCCTGGCTGGTTTTGCTTTCTCTGGCATGTCCTGTTACCGTTCTATTTCCCTGAATTCTCTACTTTTACTTAAACCTTGGGCTCGTCAAATGCTTCGCCATCCTCTCCTTTGCCCTGGCCCCTGTCACACACCCTCGGTGGGCCCTGATGGCCCCGCTGTAGCCGGGGCTGGCTGCTCTGCCTGGGCCACGTTCCATGTTCCGTTGCTCCCTCTCGCTGCTCTCCTGGGTCAGAGGCGCTGTTTCCAGTGGTAGGCAGGTGAATGTTTAACAATAGGACCCGAGGACAAATAAATAAAACCCTTATTTTTAGCCTTTTCAACATTCATATTGTAAAACATTCCCTTAAGAGCCGATGTCAGGTTCCCAACTTGAGGTCACTGACCTTGGAGCTGGGAAGAGATGCACCCGACCCACGTTCCCGGGCCTGCGCCAGCAGCCTCAGCACATACCATTGATGAGAACCATTTGGACAAAGAGATTTACAAACTATATTCATACTTTTTCTGAGTAAACAAAGCAAACAGGATATCATTTCGTTTCATTTTGTGGCTCTGGGCCATTTATTATTAGTGTCAAGCTCTTGAGGCAAAAAGTGATGTCTCTAGAGTTATGACATTTAGAGAGAAGGTATAGGCCTATAAACTAAATGCCTAAATAGCTTACCGTGAAAATTAGATTAAAAATTAAGTAGAAATTAAGTAGCCCTGGCAGGGTGGCTCAAATGGTTGGAGCATTGTCCCAAAACACCAAAAGGTTGCAGGTTCAATCCCCGGTCCAGGCCCATACAGGAGGCACCCGATGGATGATTCTCTCTCACATTGATGTTTCTCTCTCTCTCCCCCCCCTTTCCTCTGTCTCTAAAAATCAATAAAAACATATCCTCGGGTGAGGGTTAAGAAAATTAAGTAAAAATTGCAGTGGTATTTTATTTTGGAAGGGCTTTTTTATTGTTGTTGGTGGACTTTTTAAAATACAGTTCTCAAATCTAGTGCTTATGGTTTGTGTAGTTTTTATAGCTGACTCTTGTCTGATCCTTAGTATGATTCCCCCATTTGATTTTCTTAATGGCCTGTGTTTATGCCCTTATTTCAGGCCACCTTAGTCCATCTTTAAATAAGTTATCAGAGAACAAACATTAATAGGGAGATATAGTGCCTTCAATAAAGAATACAGATTTTCTAATAAGTGGTGCTAATTTGGCTTCTTTCATTATTCATGATTTCTTTAACATCATAAAAGAGAATGCTATCCATGCATTTTCTGACAGAAAAAAAAATAGGTTTTTCTCTGTTTGAAAAGTTCACTTTAAAGGTTTTTGTGATGCACGACAGCTTTAAAATAAGGTTGCTTTTCAAAATGAATTGCCTGCAGCTGCTCTCCTGGGTTTATTTTTTTTCTCTGAACACATCCATCCTGTTCAGGCATTTTTTTAAAAACTGCGTATTTGCACCACTGATGGGCCCATAAATAAAATGCTGCATTTTTAGGGAAAGATTCCTGGGAACTAATTAGAGCCTCAAACAGAGATAACCCAGGGGTTGAAAACATGGTGGCTGCTGCTGCTTGTCCTGCTGATTATTTTGTTTTAGCCACTTCTGTGCATCTTCCCATTTGTGAGCGCAGGAGATGGTGACAGATTGCTCCCCCGGCAGGAAGTAGCCATGAAATGAGTGTGGTTCTGGCTGGTTGTCTGGAGGCAGTTGCTCTTCTCTCGTCCTCAGCTTACTAAAGGTGAATCTTAACCAAGGTAGATTCGGCTTACTGGATGGGGGGCATTTCTTTATGTCCAAGGAAATTAAAGCTATTCAGGCATACACCTGCCACATGACTAGAAAAAATACCTAGAGTGCCATTTTCATCTGCAGTTTCTAGTGCCATAAGTATGGCTAATGGCTGGATCATTTTATTGGAATTACTATCTTATCAAAGTTAATCTAGAAAAATGGTTGAGATGTGTGAGATTAGTGTCCAAATACAGCAGGTGGAATTATAAAAATTTTAGATGTAAAATACAATAAATATCACGTGTACGTGATAATGACGTTGTTGGCATCCACTGGACTATAAAAAAGTCATCTCCATCATAAATGCTTTAAGTGGGTGTTTTAAATACGTTTTAGAATTATTTAAAATGTGATTGTGTATCATGCAAATATAATAAACTGTGGCATGTCTAAAATTGTTATAGCCCCATAATTTTTATTTCAAAAGAATTTTACCTAACCTAAGATGAATTTTCATGTAGGTGTATGATGTCAATAAAATATAATTCAAAAAGACTCTATAACTCTAGTTTACATGAGGACATTGAGCCCAGAGTAAGTAAATAAGTAAGCTTCATTGTGACAAAGCGGTTAGTCATTGTCATCAAAACCAAAACAGATAATTTGATCATTTATGTTTCACAGAGGAAGGCAGTATAGTAGGAGGGTTGTTTTTCCAAAACAATATTAGTTTTCGTATTGCCAGTCTGGAATTATTGTTCCAAATATGTTATAGTAAGCCAACCATTATACTAAAACTAATGATGAATTACTGTCATAAAATATCTGCCTAGGTTTTCTACTATAGAAAGTGATTTAGGGAGTATAGCTCTCCAGATAGGTTTAAAAATGCATTTAAACTTGAAGTCATAATGCTCAAAGTGTATCTTCTGAGAAAAGCTGTACAAAACAGTACATGAAATAGGTATCACAACTCTAGTGATAATGATGTCCATTAGTGTGATTTATAAAGAATATGCAGACTTCTCTAACAGTGACATAAAGATTAAAATGGTATGATTATGGCCCTGGCCAGGTGGCTCAGTTGTTCACCCCACACACCACAAGGTTGCAATTTCAGTTCCTGGTCAGGGCACATACTTAGGTTTCGGGTTCTGTCCCCTTTCAGGGTGCATATGGGAGGCAACCGATCAATGTTCATCTCTCACATCGATGTTTTTCTTTCTCTCTCTCTCTAAAAATATATCTTTGGGTGAGGATTATAAAGAAAAAGGTATGGTTATTCTTGGGTTAAACGCTAATGGACTCTTTTTGCTTCGTTTTAGCTCTCCGCCTTAGAAAGGCAGATCTTTGACTTCCTTGGCTTCCAGTGGGCGCCTATTCTTGGAAATTTTCTGCATATAATAGTTGTCATATTGGGTTTGTTTGGAACCATTCAGTACAGACCTCGGTATATCGTGGTGGTAAGTCTTATTTTTACCATGTCTCTTCATATAAGCACTGCAAAATTGCTGTGAGAAGATAAATAAGAGAACAACTTGTTCCCTCTGCTATGATGCGGCATTGCTGTCACATACTGAATTCTGTTAAGAGACTATTATCTGTGGAAAGGGCAGCAGTGAATGTTTACAATGGAGCAAAGCAACATGCCTATAAATGTGAGACTCACAGTGTAACTAAATTCAAGTACCACAAGGACGTTTTTTAAATTTAAAATGGATTTGGGTAGAGTAAGAGGCCTGTTGAGGTCTTGATGTTATGATGAGATATAAATATACATTAACTGTCATTTCAGTTGACATGTGTCACCCTACAAAGCTAACCTACCTAGCCTTGACTGTTTGCCAACTGAAAACAATAACAATGTAATTTCAACGGATTTAGGACATTGCAAATGCATGTACTAAAGGTAATTTAGTACTCATCTCTAATGCATTTTATATGGTATGTTATTACCAAACATTTCTCCATTTTGTTAAGATAACTCTGGAACATGAATCCATACTCCAAACTATGCTAAACAGGGTCAGCACACCCTCCATCGTAAGACAATTTAACAAGGTGTATGTTGTGCTCCACAATAAAATGGAAGTTATTCCCAGTAATTAGTTTTCTATAAAAAAAAAAAAGGTAATATTTTAGGCTACATGTATAAGAAGGATGTAAGAAGTAATAAGCATAGATAAGTAATTGCAAATCAGAGTGGCAAAGTACTCTAAAATACTCATTGAGCCTGAATTAATGTACAGTATTCAGTAGAATTATTAAATATTTTCTTATAATATAGTAACATCTCCCCACTAGAAGAAACCTTTGGCTTAAAAATACGCCACCTTTCCATTTTTATTTAATCCAATCACATCTATAGAAAAGAATAAAGTTAAAATTTTCTGTGAATCCATTTATTCTCTATTTTGAATCTCATCATATTACAGAGCACTTGCTCTGTGTTCGTAGCAACAAACTAGAACATATAATTCAGTAATAGTTTGACGTTATGCATATGAAAGCATCTTATACTGCAAGTCCAACTCCATGGAACACTTTTCTAGTACATTGTACCGTGGCTCAGCAGAGGCTAGCTCCCAGAGAAGAAATACAAAGTAGAATTGTTGAGTCCCCACAGCCAGGTGAGTGACTTCAATCACTGCCTTGTGCCCCAGGGCAGCCATTTGGAGGGCAGAGTCTGTGCTGTGGGCCACTGACCTTCACCTCCTGCCAGCCACACTGAATGATTTGTGTTTTCCTAAGAACATATGCTGTCATTTGCCTCCTCAGTTTGCACATACCTGGAATGCCCTATGCTACTTACCCACTTGGGAAGTGGGTAATAACCTTCAACTGAATGATCACCTCTTAAGAGCCTTCCCAGGCCACCCCACTCTGGGGTAGGTGCCACCTCCTCTCTGCTCTCTTACGTCCCGCCGACTCTTTCTATCCTAGCACCCTGCACAGTTACCTTCCTCCCCTCCGGCCCATCTCATCCCATTCAACAGTGTTCTCCTGGCAGGCAGAGCACGCCTATTCACTGCTGTATTCTAGGTCTATCCCAGTATGCTTAGTACTTGATTGAACAAATAATAAATGAATTAAAGGTTATTGGATGAAGTGATTTTGCAGGATGAACTAGAAAATGATATCTAATTTCAGAACATGTCTGAGTTCAACAAGAAAAACTGGCCTCACTGCCTTGCACATCACAGTCTGAACTTGAGGATTCGCATGAAAAAACTGTATGTGCTACTCTGCCTACACCTGCCTTGAGCTGAGTTACTCCTCAACTTACTTTTTTCTAAGGATTATAATGTCTTGGGCTCCTGCCACTGTAATTAAGGAGGTCCCATAGCAAAGACTATCCGAAAAATTCACCCAAATCACAAAATTAAAGAGCACTAACTCCCTTTGGATACCATCACTAATGAAAAGGTAGAATTTGCTATTTCTTTATTTAGTTTTAGAACACAAAAGCAACTTTGTTATATGGTACCCTTTTACTGATTAAAATTTATTTCAGCTACAACGCAAGGAGGCATATATACATTACAGAATACCAAGTTTAGTTGAAGAGTTTGAATGCACCTTTTGTGTTTCTTTAGCTAGAGGCAAAATGAAGCAGAGTATGGGCTATGAAATTCTATTTCACAGTCCTGAAGTATTGTTCTAGAATCAGCAGTTTTCTTCTGTTTACTCCTACATCCAGATATTCAGAAATCTTACTTATGAATTCCAAAATGAGATTCTGCCCCCAGAATTATTTAGATCATTATTATTTCATGGAAAATACATTGATTTAATCAAGCAGTTTTAAATTAATTTAAATGTAGGAGCAATAGCTAATTAACATTTGTATTATTTTTTAAATTTAACATTTTTAAAAATAAAGTTTAACTTTGAAATTAAAATTAACTCAAAATTGCCTTTAAATTAAAAAAAAAAAAAAGCCAAGTAAATTTTCTAGGCCCACAATTTAGTTATTTGAGCTTTTATGCAGATGTTCATGTGCAAAGGACAGCAACTCGCTTTAATTTGAATTGTTAGATAGGAAAAATTCCCTACTGTGTCATCATATGTCTCCTTCCTGAGCTACTACTGCTCAACACGACTTAAGAGTGTTAGCTTTTCATTTAATTGGTGCCAGATTTAAATCCTCCCCCACCAATTATTGGCTGTGAAGACTTGGGACATTTATTTGCTTTCTTTGTACCATAGTTTATTTGTAAAAACCTGACTCATAGTTGTTTTTAAGAATTATATAATGTCTGTTACTTGCTTAGCATAACTTAACAGAGTAAGTGCTTAATAAGTAATTGAGCTGTTTAATGTTTAATGTCTTCTCCTCTTTTCCTATCCTATTGTACGCAATATTTTATCTGATTGATACACATATGAATGAACGAATGAGCTTTCTGGTAATTGGAAAACAAACAAGCTGAGGAAGTAAAAATAAATCATGTTATAAGCTAATTGCTGGATAAGAAAGCAATAGACTGCAAGACTTCTAAAGTTCATTTCAACTAAAAAATGGTGAAATAGCCTCATAAAACTGGGAACTATTCACAAAACCACGTAGAACACATAAACTTTTAAAAAAAATCTTTATAGTCTCTGTCTATGTAAATTAGGATTTAAAATATGTGTACTAAATTTAAGCAAAGTAGAATAAATAAATAGGCATTTAGATGACAGTTATCGAGTGGTTTGGTTTGGTTTTGGTTTGGTAAGTTCTCTTCTATACTGCAAATATAGTTACCTAGACATATGGGCACGCTCCGTGATAACCGAAGAGAATTTGTTAAAAATGGAGTCTTAGCTCCTCTTTTATTCTTCTTTCAATTGAATTACAAATAAAATTACCCAAAGTATTAACTCTCAAACTAATCTATAGCCCTTTTGTTAAGGTCTTTTTAAATAAAGACTGTCAGGTAATCTTTGAGCATCTCGCTTCCAGAGTCAACCCGTTTGAGTTCCTACCCCAACGATGACACTCACTTATCAAATGATTCCCTCTCTTCCTTGATTTTCGTGCGATGACTGAATGAACTGATGGGTATAAAGCACTTAGCACAGTACCAGGAACACAGAAAGCAGGAGAGTGATCACTCTTGTTGTTAAGAATTTACCAGCTGGTGGTTGGAGTCTGCTGGGCTGGGAATATTATCTCTGAAAGTTCAGAAGGGGCACCACCAGTCCAGCTGGTGAGAGGTCCTGAATGCACTTCAATTGATACACTTGTGCTCTGATTGTTAAATAGATTTGTTCTATAATTTGGTTGTAATAACTATGAGTTGATTGACTTTCCTAAAAGCATACTTATAGGTTAGGTTTGCAGTCCTAAAAATTAAAAATCATATGGTTTTGAAATTAATTCCATCATTTCTTCCTTTAGTCTTCTTGCTTTAATTTATGTCCTTTCCTTAACCTTTATCACTGGCTTTTTTCTCATGACTTAGAGGTCTGCAGTCTCTCTCATTCTAATATACTCATAATTAGATTGATTTAGAATGAAACATATCAGATACCAAATGCAATCTTATTGACAACAGCTTTAATATTTTCTGTTGTTACTGTGATTTGATCAGTTTGCAAAAAGTATATGTTGCAAATGTAGTTTTGCTGTTTTGAATATTTGTAGGAATATTTTGTGGTTCAAAAAAGTATGTTTCAATGCATTTGGCACATTTTTAAAAACTAAGTTCACCCATATTAGAAGATACTACTAGCAGAAGATATCAGCAGAGCATCCATATATCTGCAAATGCTAAGAGCCTCAATATATTGCTTAACTTATTTTAACTTTTTAACATATTTTCTCTGGCTTCTCTAAATTTTCAGTAATTTGAAGACTTAACTCATTATAATTGCATTATTTTTTTACAAAAACAAATAAGGAAAACCTCTTCTCAGAAAGAAAAGATAAGATATTGAATGTAACTAATTATAGCACTACACAACTATATTAGGTTATTTTGAAAGCCTTTTGAAAATTATAAATAAGAGAAAGACACTAAGTGTAAATTAAATTTTATAAATAATTAAAAGCTTCTGATAAGATTTCTAAAGGATCATGGCTATTTTATACAGGGTTTAAAATTTATAATTATATTATTTGACACAGCATAGAATAAGCTAATGAAATGTTTTCCATATTTATTTTAATTTGACAATAGCATGTGATGATTATAATCACTGATAGAAAGCAATAATTTAATTAGCACGCCTCTTTAAAAAATTAAGAATTCATAGATTTTTGTGGTAAAGTAAAATGAATGAGCATACCATTACATCTGATCTGTTAATCGTGTTCCCAGGAAAGTCCCATGCTCAGTCATCCAAGCTGTTCCATATGTCAGTTTTCTGGGCCTCAGTTTCTCCATCTACGTAGGAAAATGACTGGGTGAATTCAGCCCTTATACCTCCTCCGTTAATTCAGACTGACTAATACTCTCAAGGAAGGCATTTTCTAACACATACTACATTAACAAAACCAGTTAATCAGTAATGCTAACATATTTAGAGTTTGCTGGATGTGATTGGAAGGTATTTTTCCATTATAGAAATCTGTTATTCATTCACTCATTTTTAATCCTATTTACTACTTTTGTGCTTTTAGAAGATATTTTACGCAATCATATTATAGTCTATGATTATATTAGAGGCACACATTTCACTCTTAATAGTATAACAGGTGAAAATTTGTTAAGTTTACTCCACACATCCATTTTCAAACATGATCCTCATGTGGGGATATGTAAGTGATGGGTTTTGACTAACATTCCTAAAAACTTGACAATTTAGTATTATAACTAAAAATTAGATAGATAAGTAGATAGCCACCAAAACTTTGCATGATTGCATTCCTTGGAAAAGCTAATACTCAGAAAACAGAAATCAAGTCAGCGCTCGGATTTAACCTGTATCTGTAAGCCAGCAAAGCACTTTAAAAATAAACCTAGCTTTATTTGCATCTACTGAAAGCAGTAGAAACTATTGGATTTTTAATTTCTAGAGATCTTAGGGGACCTCATAAGGAGCACTCTTTTCTGAGCACACCCTGTTTCTTCCCAGAAGACTTAGACTTATTGACCTTTTATTATTGATTTATTTAATATACATGCCTTTCATCTCCACATTTTTCTTCTCTTTCTCCCCACCCACCCCCTTTCCCTCTAGTACACAGTATGGACTGCCCTCTGGGTCACCTGGAATGTGTTCATTATCTGCTTTTATTTGGAAGTAGGCGGGCTCTCTAAGGTAAGTTTATCATGCTTCTAAAATACACTTTAAAAAGAGTACACAAATCAATAATTATTATGCCTATGTATTATATATGTATATATAAATCTAAGTAACATTACAAATGGAATATTAATAAAAACAAGTTTGGGTACCATTCGGGAAGAAATTATCTTGGGAGGGTGTTAATATAATAGAACTCCAAAGCCATGGCCTCGTGGTTTCGTGGTTTAGTTTGGTAAGCTGTGGTGGAACTCAGCTTCCAGTGCACCCTCACATCCACTTTACAAAGGCCTAACGTCATGATGACCACAGCACCAAATGTTAAGTGAAAAATGGCTTTGAATAGTCTTCTTTTTAAACTGGAAAAATAAATTACATAAGATGTTAATGTAACAACTATGAATAACAAGGCTCTATCTTTGCTTGAATGCTAACCCGAGAAAACAGTGTTTGACAAAGAGTGACGCCCATGGATATGTAAGTGCAGTACACATTTACTAACAGCTAAGTGCATCAGCGTGGTGATCCCGTTATGAAGTCCTGATCGGACAGAAGAGTTGTCTTAGTAAAGCGTGATACGAATATTATTTCTGTCTGTCTGGAACCAGTATCAGCAGCCCACACGATGCTTATTATGACTCTGCACGCCTGTCTTTCGACTGCCACCCAGATGCAAAAGTGTCTGGGGTCAAGTTTCTAGTTGTGTGTTTCTTAAACATCTTTCTCACAAGCCAGCACAATTTTCATTTGTAGAAACTAGAGAAGAAACTCAACAGTATAATTACAAAAGAATAAGAAAGCTGTAGTTACTTTTTTAAGATTTTTTATTATGAACTGCAATTGTGCTAACGTATTCTGTTGTCGTAAGAAAGTCTCGAATTTTCTAAGTAACATAATGGTCTTCCACTAGCATTTGCGGTTTTCATCTTAGAAAATCTGCCTTGACCAACACAGATGCTTTGAGAATTGTTAGGCTCCGTTGAAGTCCATACGGTAACAAAGAATTTTTGATTGAGCCAAGCAGCAAAAATCCCTAAAGGATTTTCTCCAGTACCTCCAAGGTGGCTTCCCTTTGTTCTACATTATAATAACTTTACAGTTAGAACTTGTCGTCATCTTCTCACATTGGCAAATGTACCCGGAACCAGAAATGACATTTCTAATACTGAGTTCATACAAATTCACTAATATCTGCCTTTAATATTTATGCTATTAATTGCATTTCACCACTGATTTTTAAGACAGAAAAAAAATACCTCAATCAGTGCCCAGTTATCTTCTGTAACATGAAGACTAGAAAGCAATTTTAAAATGCAAATCTTATGAATAATATAATTATGAATAATAAGTTAAGCATAGTATTTTTCAACACATGCCATTTTGTATCTTGTAATTTAAATAGTCATTTTAAATCATAATTTTATTTCACTGGGTAGAAATTCTATTTTATTTTCTTCCATATAAACTGATTTGGAATAAATTAGAGGAATTTTATCCTGTGGAACTGGCATCATAGTGTGTTGAAAGAAGACTCAATATCAAATTATAAGTCTTTTGTTCAAATCTGGTCTTTAGCGCTTATTAACTATGAGCCCTTAGGCAAATCATTTAACCCCACTGAGTCTGTGTGAAATATAAAAACAGGACCAGCTTTGCCAATAGTGATAGTAAATGTGATTGTTGGGTCTTTAGCATTGTTTTAAGCATATCCTATGTGGTAACTCAGGTAAGCTTCCAAACAGCCCTATAAAAATGAAGTTATATAATATTAATACTAATAATAACATTCATTTGCTCCACACAAGTCTAATTTCCCTCCTCTGCCACAAGTTACTTTTATAAACTGTTTTTCTAAGATCAGTGTTCATGTGAAGGGTTTTTTTCTCATGTCTTTGGAGATGAGGTTATAAAAAAATGGATATAGTAGTCTTGGTTACTCATTTCATTATCCATTAAAATGTTAAGCAGCCAGTCAAATATTAGGTCATTAAAAGGATAGATAAGTCCAAAAGGAGCATCCTAAAGATTTTCTGTTGGCTTCCTCCTATTTTCCACCTCAAAGGCTGGTAAAATTTCCCTGGTTAGCCAGTTTAGCCTCAATTCCAATCTGTAGGAAATCTATTCTGAAAAATAGAGCTGATTTAAGGGCCCCAGACAGACCCAAGCACCTCTGCCACCCACCCTGGTTGGGCTTCTTAAGAAATTCCTTGTCCGTTTGTGCTGGTTTACATGCTAACTTTCTAGAGCTCTCCATCACCTGCTAGTCTGTGAAGACATTTCTTGGAATTACTCACTTGGAAACATTAATAGAAACCTCCCTATAACTTGATTTTTGCCCAAAATATCTCCTCTAAAATAATGATCCTTTCTCCAAAAACTGGATTCAGGTTAATTTCCACAACATCTCTGTGTATCTGGGAGTTATTCCAATGGCAGGCACTGTCGAACCACTCTTATTAACTAAAGCATATATCCTTGTGGGCATGAACAATCATACATCTGGCCTGTTTGGGGGATTCTTGATCGTAGCCTCCAGATTTTCCCTTTGCTGTTATCTCATCTGCCAACCAGCTCTGCATCGTTTGTTTGTTACTGTGGCCTCGAGGGTTCTGATTCATTTTCAGAACTTGAAGAAACTGAATGTATTGTTTTAAGGGATGTGAACATGTATGGCGGGGCCAGGGTGACTATGGGTAGGTAACTGAAGATTACTTACATAATCTACTGGAGCCTCAGTTTCCTTTTCTGCAAACTGAGGAAAACCACTTCACTGATTTTACTGAATTGTAGAAAGAATTAAATAATGCCTATAAGCGACTTAGGATCTTGGCATGTTGTGAGGTTTCCGTAAATGGGGGCTCTTATCGTTGCCATCAACATCATCATCTTTATTATTATTGAAACAATTAACAGGCATCACAAGCTTCATCCTGAAAACCTTAGAGACGTCTATCTATTAATACACAAGAGCTGTAAAAGGGATTGATGCAGGGACTCGGTCACTTGTTTAAAAAAGATGTAATGGTCCCATGTGATGGGACCTGGGATCTGCATGTTAACTTCACAGCTGCAACACTATTAATTAAACCCTCCCCTTCAACATGGAAATAGCTTTTTTGAAATACTTCTACATCTAGATGCCCCTAGTCGCGACTGCTCGCCCCAGGAGAACTTTACGCGTCTTTAGAAGGCTCCAAGGCTGTTTCTCATGCCACACTTTAAGATCACCAAGGGCACAATTAATAAGTTATTGCCGTTCCTTTGGAGGCTGCAAGACTCGAAATCATTTTTTTCTCCCTAGGAATATGTTCAGAATGTAAATATATGAAAACCCAACTCTCTTGCTCTATTTAAAGATACTAAAAAATAAGTTAGGTTGAGAACTCAAGTTGCTTTTTTTTTTTTTAATTCCAAAGGACTTCAGCCTTTGTCTTGTGGCATCCTTTTGATTACTCCAAATTGTAGAGACTTTAGGTTACTATTCCTTCTCATTGATTTTTCTGGAAAGATGTGTGGAACTTACACATTAGTGATCCTAGAGAATTTTCAGTGTGTCACACGCACATAGAATTCAGAATGTGTATGGCTATGCCTGAGCATAACCAAGACATAAAAATAGAATGTAAAGAAATTCCAGGGAGATTTATCTTATCTTAATCACCAGCTTTGATGAGAGGCTTTTTAAAAACTTGCAGAAGATGGAGAAGGGAGATTGGACTAATAGCTTCTACTGACTTCCTGCCCTGTACGGGTGCTTTGCATCGCCTTCCACAAGAGGAAGAGCTACCTGCATTTGTTTCTCTTTGTCATATTTTAACAACTGTGTTTTCCCATAGTGACCTGATTTGCGGGTATTTTGATTCTTAAATAAAATTAAACCATTTTCCAAAATCATAGCACTTTTTGGACTTCTTTTGGCTCAGATTGACTCCATTGTTCATGAGTGTCTTCTCTTACAAGAATCTTCAGTTGAATATTTCGCCTGCATGGCCAGACAGGGTCAGTGAGATCATTCTTTTCCAAGGTTTAGTCTTATTGCCTGGCCAGAATTGTTCCTCTCTACTTACTGGGAAGATTCTCTTCCCTGATCAAGATTCATTTTCCTTCAAAGTTGGATTCTTCCACTAATTTTGGCTTTGGGCAGGTCTTTTCAAGTAGGAAACTTTCAGACCATCAATTCCGAGTTCTCTGCAGGGACAATTGCATAGGAAGCAAGACTCTCAGCTCCCCCGAGCCGTGTACGTGCATCTCTTACTTTTATAAACATTCTAAATATTTTTGTGTCTCGAAAAATTCTTTTTCTGATGGCAGTTTCAAACTAAGTCGATGTATAGTAGATGTCTTTTCTTTATTTAAACAAATACAAGTTGCCAAATCTAGTAATGAGTTTTAAACTTGAATTTATCTTTTTCTTTGGATGATTTCTTTCTACGTGGTCATTTTTCAAAAGGAATCTTGAAATGTGATGTTTATGGAGGGCTGAAGCGAGGTACAAAGCATCTTTATTCAAGAGTAATATATCAGCAAATGATACAGAGAAGCATCTTAGAAACCCAGCAAAACTATGCCTACTTTCAGCCTGGGCCGGGTGGCTCAGTCGTTTGGGGTGTCATCCCATGCACCAAAGGGTTGTGGGTTAGACTCCTGGTGGAGCATATACCTACCTTGTGGGTTCAGTCCCCTGTTGGGGGTTGTATGGGAGGCAACTGATAGATATTTCTCTGTCACATTGATGTTTCACTCTCTTTAAAATCAATTAAAAAACATATCCTCAGACGAGGATTATAAAAAACAACTCTGCCTACTTTCAAAACTCCATGAATGATATCCTATTTACTGTATCTTGAAGTAAATGGCATACCTATGTCAATGGGACACTTTGGAACATGCATGAACTCTTTCAGTTCATTTGAATAACAAAATACTACCAATTCTGAACTGTATTATTATATATTTATCCTGATATCCTGAAAGAATGTTTTTGTAATATTGACTGGGGAGGAGGCGGGTAGAGG